TGACCTCTACACCATGAAGGCATGCTAAGAAGCTGGGAGAAGTACCTTATAAGCTTTTAATGTGTACTTATCTTAATATCGTTTAAGAATCAATGTCATAAATTACATGTATTTTAAACTGTGACATGTTAATAGATTTTAATTTTATTAGTACTTTTTTAACAAATATTTCTAAAAAATAAACTAATAGTTGTCATGTAAATCTACACTGACTACCAATAAATATTTGGACACCTATGCAAATGATGATATCTGTGGTCCTAAGGTACGTCACGGACTCCGCCGGTATATATCGTGTAGGAAACAGCATCGGCTTTAGTCGTGTGCAAGATGCCTCGCAGTTCGGAGCTCTCTGATTTTGAGAAAGGTATAATTATTGGGTATCACAAATGTGGCCAATCCTTAAGGGACATATCTAGCGATCTGAAGTACCCAAAATTGACAGTGGTCTATGTGATTAAGAAGTGGAAGGTGAGCAGTGATTGTCGGAATGTGCCCCGAGTCGGCAGGCCAGCGAAACTGGGAGATAGAGACCGATGAGTGCTGTCCAGAGAAATTCGGAAGAACCACACCCAACCAATGGCCCTCATCCACGAGGAGTTTCAACAGGCATTCGGGAGTATTGTTTCAATTAATACCATCCGTAAGGAAGCACATCTGCTTGGTTTTCATGGTCTTGCTGCTGCCCATAAGCCTTTGATCACAAAGTCCAACTCTGCTGCTTGGTTAATGTGGTGCAAAGCACATTGAAATTGGACCATAGATCAGTGGAAACGGGTTCTTTGGAGTGACGAATCAAGGTTCACTCTTTACCTTTCGGATGGCAGGATCTGAGTCTGGCATCTACCTGGAGAACGCCTCCTGCCAGAATGCATTTTTCCAACAGTCAAGTTTGGCGGAGGAGGAATTATGGTCTGAGGGTGTTTCTTCTGGTATGGGTTGCGACCCTTGGTCCCCATTCATGGTAAGCTCAACTCCGATGCCTACTGCACTGTTTTGGATGACAATGTGCTTCCTACGTTGTGGCAGTTTTACGGGTTGGACCCTTGTTACTTTCAGGACAACAATGTCAGTTGTCATGTTTCGGCATTAACCAAGGCTTGGTATGGTGCCAATGGAGTTCATCGAATGGACTGGCCTGCCCAGAGTCCAGACCTGAACCCTATCGAGAACCTCTGGGACGAGTTGCATCACCGAATTCAGGGGTGCGCTACCCGTGCAAATTGGTGAAGGAACTTCTAAGTCTTCTCCAAGCCGAGTGGAAGAAAATACCACTAGCTGTCATACAAAGACTTGTGGAACGTATGCTCCGGAGGGTCCACGCTGTAATTACCTTTCATGGAGGCTCTACCAACTATTAGTTTTGAATAAAGTTAGTTTTTCTTTTCTATCACAGGTGTGTAAATACTTATTGGTAGTCAGTGTATAATGACTAGGGGTTATCTAACTAGCTAGTTTAATTATTTGCAGAGTTGCCAACTATCCCGATCCGATTTAAGTGGGAAGCTCCCGATTTTCGACCGCTCTCCCGCCAACCCGATTTACAATATATTTCTCCTGACTTTTTCTTATTCTTAAAATTTCTCACGATTTTTATGGAACTTGGCTTAATACTTTGTTATATGGACCCCCCCCCAAAAAAAAGTGATTTTGGACGTCTGAAAGCAATTGAATTTTCTCTAGACTATATCTAAAACAAAACCTTGCGAATTAGATAACTTCTGCTTTGTGAGTTAGATAACTTCTGCATATACGTATCCAGAAACGTCGTTCTCTAGTTCTCCAATGGGCATCCTGCTCCACTGCGTGTCATCTGACATATATTAGCCAATGAGGACAAAGAAAGCTGTTATTTGGATGTTCTTTAGTTATTTTGGTCATTTTGTCTCGAGTTGTGTGAGTACACGTGCCTTCGGGAAATAGTTTTAGAAATTATCATCCTTTGTTATGTCTGCGAGAAAGGTGAAATACTCGTATACGTTTCAAAAATCATACACGGTTGACTTTCCTTCCATTATTTCCTCAAGGAAATGTAATAAATTTGCGATGTGTACCGCCTGTCGTTGCGATTTTTTAATTTCGCGTGGTGGAAGGGCGAATGTTCTCAAACAAGTGCATACACAAAAACACAAGAATAACATGAGTTGTTTTGGAAAAAAATGAAAAATTAAATTTTTCTTCGGAAACATAGGACCAAAAAGTTATTAATGCAGAATGTCTGTTCTCTGCCTTTTTACTGGAGCACAACCTGCCACTGAATGCATCGGATCACTCCGCAGCTTTATTTAGAAAAATGTTTCCCGATAGTGAAATTGCTAAGAAATACTCAAGTGCAAGAACCAAAACAGGTGCAATTGTTAAAGAAATGGATTTGAAAAATAAATCTTCAGTTATTGATTGCATTAAAACAGCTCCATTCTGCCTCTCTACGGATGGAAGCAATAATACTGATTCAAAACTGTATCCAATTGTTGTTTCTTTTTTCAATCCAGAGTCTTCAGAAATTGAGTGCAGTTTACTTTCTGCCCCCACTTTAGATGGACTTCTGACAGGCTTTAATATAGCACAGCTAATTATTAAAACTAAAAGAAAATGCAGTCCCTCTGGATAATTGCGTAGCACTTGGTGCCGATAATGCTCCAGCATTGGTAGGCTTGAAGACTGGTGTTGCAAGCATCTTAAGAAAGGAAAATTCAGATTTGCAGATTATGAGGTGCACCTGTCACCTCTTAAATTTAGCAGCTGAAAAAGGGGCAGCTTCTTTAGTAATAAATGTGGATGAACACATTGTTGATATTTATTATTATCTTGAAAGGAGTTCTAAAAGGAAGGAAAAATTGAAACAGTTCCAACAGCTGCATAACATTAGTTTAAAATTATAAAACTTGGATGAAGTTATAAAATCAGCTAAGATTGACACCCAGTGGAGTTTAATTGGAAAACTGAAAGATGCCGATGGAATTTTAAAATATAGTGAACTGTCTAGAATTATGTTGGCCATCTTGACAGTTCCCCATACTAATGTAGAGCGTGAGAGGATTTTCGGTGTTGTTGCAAAAACGAGGACTAAATTTAGATCTTATATTAGTGATGACACATTAGAAAAACTTTTATTAGCAAAAGCAGGCATACGTGGCAATTGCTATGAACAAAATTATGAAGTTTCTTTCTTAAAGAAAGCAAAATCTGCCACTGTTTAATAAGATTTGTATGAAAACTGATTAATTTTTTTTTTAAACGATGCAAGTAATAAAAATGTTTTTTATGTGTAAGGTATTTTTGTGTTGCTTGCATTTAAGAATTAGTTACTATTTAATTCATTATTAAAAACTATATTTTCATCATTTAAAAAGTCTTTTTAACATTGTGAAAAATCTCCGGATTTCTTAAAAAAATCTCCTGATTTTTGAGTGTCATAGGTTGGCAAGTATGTATTTGTAAATAATTGGTCACCATTAAAAGTTATCTCTACATATTAAAGTGAGTTACTTCCTTTCATTAATACTTACCATGGTCACAAGTTTCAGCAAAATAATGTAACAATTAATGTAAAACGTACTCTTTGCATCTAGTGAAACTTAAAATAATACAAAACAACTTATCACCTCTGATGCTGTAACGGCTTATTGGAACCTTAAAATATATTAACTGGGTTACAACCCAGGAATTCTACACAAAGTTATGACACTAACTGCATCAGACAGGCAGAGCACAACTAACTTTCAAAACTTGCCAATCGTGCCTATATCAGGCTTTTAGATTTGTTCTGATCAACAGGCCTCTCCCTAGGCAAATCAGTCTTCTACAACAAATCATGCTGATTATGATTTTACTTCTCATTTTAACCTATGCCATTTGGCATAAAATCTACTTGTTTACTAAACCTCTAAACTGAGCAAGTATGTGACAAAATAAGACATAAAAGAAAAAAAAAAAATCAACATCAAGCTAACTGTTAGTGAAGCATGAATAAAATGTCACTAATCTTCTTTCAGATATGTCCAACTATTATAAGGGTAAAATATTTAATGCTCCTTGATAAATTTTATGAAGTTGGTTTTATTCTCAAATTTGTTTTATAATTATGTATAATAATAATGCATTCTTACTTGTGCATCTATTTCATTTTTATAATGGTATTACGGATGTGAAGTTCAGGCTTAGCAAATATTTTTAATTGAATTCATTCAGTTCCCATTTTTTATGGGTCCTTAATTTTTTTCATTAATGTGCCTTTAACGTACTTAATTTCCATCTGCAGAAATGTGTGAATGGATATAGTAAAATATAAAATGTTACACTGTTCTCAAGATGAATCACAATATCCTTCTACTCAATAAATGTGATGAAAAAGTAAGAAAATTGGAATTCATTATTGAGAGAAATTTATCATTTACCATATGTCCTGCTGACATCTGTATCACAATGAATCTAAATTATTTGAAATGTTAAAACTCCCAGTTTGGTTCTGCTCTGTCCAGTTTGGTTCCTTTGTCTGCTGTAGCTCTGTTTGATGGTAATAAAGAGGATGCAAATAAAGTTCTGCCTATATGGGATTCCATTTCTGGACATCTTGGTCACACTAGATATATATAATGTCAGTGCAGTGTATTGTAAATCTTCTATCTTTCTTTCAACATATTTCAAATCCTGTTATTTCACTGAACAAAAGTTGGCTTCATTTTGTCTGTTCATCTTATCAGTTCTCTTTATTTTATTCAATTATGTTTTTCCATACATATTAAATTAATTGTTAAAAATTAGTCTTTGCATACCTATAGAATTATTAATTTAAATGTGCTTTATTCATATTGAAGTGTCAAGCAAAGAAAATGTATCTAAAGTGTCCTCTATTTAGATTATAAGCTCTGTTATTTGAAACTTTAAATAAAATGAGTGTTTATAAATGCCTGAAATTAAAATATTAACTAGTAGGTTTTCATGGTTTATATTAATTAGTATTAATGGAAAATTCTGTGAAAAATGTATTTATGTTACAGATATGAAGAAGAGAATCAAAAATGGGAGAAGCTTCAATTACAGTATAGAGAAGATTTGACATCTGCTGTAAAGTATGTGAAAATTATTTGTTGTTTTGTACTTTAATATATGTTATTTATTACTTTGTAATAAATAATTAATGTTGTGGTTATTCTGTTTATATGAATTTTATGGAGAGTAAAAGTGACTATTACTTATAATTCTGTTGTTATTTAAGAAACAGGAAATGATTATTCGGTGAACATTTTAATTTGGAATGTTCCATCATGTTTACGTTCATTTATACAAATATTTGATTGATTTATACAAGCATAAAGTTAAAATGTTTGCTTTAATGGACTAAACTGAGATATTTTTATTTAGAAGGAAGCCATGAATAAAAGTAGGGTTTAAAAAAAAATGAATACCTGTTGTATACATATATATATATATTCTCTTTGGTCTAAATTTTATTTGTTATACTTCCCTTCTCATGATTTAATGAAGCATTTATAAGGAAATTTTTAGATTACTGGGAAAATTTGAGCTATTTGATAGTTTTGCTGAGAATCTCTTCAGTGGAAGATTCTCAAAATTTTATATAAAAGGAAATGAGACAACTTTGCAAGTACATTCAATTTAAACATTTTTTTAAAGCATTTTACCTTTTAGTGTATCCTATGTGTGTTGCACTCTGCTTTACGGTTTCAAATCCAAGTTAATTATTACTAACGCTTATAGTTGTCTTCACACCATAGTAAGAGAAAGAAGTAAGATAATACAATATTATATATTGATTCAAGTGCTTCCAGGATGGCCGTATCAATCTTGGAGCTCATTCCTGTTTTCATTATGGATCACAAAAGGCACATTTATGAATTTGCGGAAAGCTGAAAAGAATCTAATATCACTGTAATCAATCATCTGCTCACCCTTCATACTTGGTTTATTTTTCAAAAACAACAGAACAAATCTATTGACCGAGAGTCAGAATGTGAAAGTCTTTGCATCTATGTTGTCTGCATCAACGTAGATTCATGTTTATCACAAGGAAGAATGGGGCTCCGAGACCCGGTGGCGCATTGGCTAGCACATTGCGCAGCAACACCACAGGTCCGGGGTTCAAACCCCGGGCTGGGCAAGGTCGACTCAGCCTTTCATCCCTTAATTTCCATCCCTTGAGTTGATAAAATGAGTACCAAGTTCACTTGGGGACTAAACACTAGAGGTCCTGCAACAAGCTGACCACTTGTTCAGGGCATATGCTTACACACCCACGGTCAAGAAAGCAAATTTCGGGGCACTGCAGGCCTTGGCCCATTAGGCCTATTTGCACTACTGAGTTTAGTTTAGAATAGGGCTTCTACAGTAATTTGAAGCCTGCATGAGCTTGAATGAAGAACAACTTCTAAGACATCAGCTGAAAAAAAAATCCACATGCAGAAAGTGGTATTTTGTGTTTGGTGTGGGATTTACATAGCATAACATTTTGGGATCATTTCTTGTAATGCATGAACATTTTCATTGTTAGCAGCTATAAAATCTTCCTGACAAGATGTTGAATTAAACACCACTGCCTAGAGCACAGTGATGTTTAATTCCTCAAGTTTCAAGTGAACCTTTTGGAAGAGCTAGGCTGAGAACCTTATTTGCTGCATATCGTAGACCTTTTACAGACAGTATGTTTTCTGATTAGTGGGCTGTTGCACCTCTTTGGACAAGTCTCTAGTGAAATCAAGGTGACAGATTTCCTGACAGACCTTTTCTGCTTCTAAGTGAGTTTTTTTCATATCTGAAGTCTTCTTAAATATTGGGAGATGCTAAATTTAGTATTTATTGTTATGCTAAATTTTTACAAAAAATCAGTTTTGGGTTTTGAACAAAACAAATGTTTATGGCATTCCGTTTACTTTCCCATTAGTTCAGTATATATTCCGTTATGATCTACGAATATATTCCAATCTATTATTTGTTATATAATATTAAAACAACTTTATATATAGAAATACAGAAAAAATTTAGAAAATATGCTTGTTTTGTGGAATATTGAAAGAAATATATTTATTTCAAAAAGTTGTTAGTTATTATTATGCTGTTATTTTGGATAATTTAGGATTTAAATATTTGAATGAATACTGTTGAAGCAGTATGTTTATACACTGTTGAAAAAAAGACTTAAATTGTTTAATAGTTTTCATATCTAAATGTATGAAGTCATAACTCTCCAGAATGAAAGACTAAAGGCCTGTCTACACGTAACAATTTTCTCGGCTGACAATATCTGAGATAGCTCGCCTGTCCACACGGAAGGATTTTTTCGTTAGTACAGGAAGTCACTCAGACAATCACTATGAAAGAAAGTGTTCCCGCCCTCTACAGCGTCACACTGTCTATGATTTGTAAACAAAGCTTACAGTGTTGTCAAATAGTCAAAATAATGGATGACTATTTTAAATTGCTACTATAGATACAGCTACAATTTTGAAACTTAGCTAATGCTACAGAAGGGGGGAAATGCATTTGGACCAAAAATTGGGTCAAACGACAAGAAATTCGTAGTGTCTTCGTAATACCCTGCTCCGGGAGTTGCATATTGAAGACACGGTACAATTCGGAAAGTATTCACGAATGATGCCGCGTAATTTTGATTTTTTGCTAAATTTAGTTTGCAGGAAAATTTTTAAAAAATATGCTTTTCCTTTGTGTACTGAGTACACAGATTACTCCTTTTTTATTTTATTTATTTATTTATTTTCAATTTCAATTTCTGGCACTCCTATTAGTGCATTTAAATCTTGAAATAATAAAATAACCATGTTTCAGAAAAAATAAGTAACTACTGAACTTTAAATCAAAACCTTTATTAATGAATAAATAGACAATAATGTTATGAATATCAAATCAATATGAGTAAAAAGTAGTAATAAAGAATAAAGATTACTAAATTATAACACAACAGTGTAATTTCAGTGCAAAAATTTTAAATAATAAATATAAAGGTGCAAAGTCTGAAGAAGCATATTTATTGAACATTAAAAATCTAATATCAGCATAATTAAATAACTAATACAGTTTTGAAAACTATGATCATATGACTCTATCAGTTAATCAGCGAATAAAATTTAGCAATATTGTATTAAATTGGGCTGTAATTTGCTTTCGCAAAGCTCAATTAACCCAAAACTAAGTTTGTGACTTTCTTTTGAAAAGTAGATCTAAAACATGTGCCAACGGCCATTCAAAAAATAAAAAGAAAGACGTTAAAATTCAATAAACACCCATAGGCGAAAAAATAAAACATGACTTTTAAGTCATGCAGTTCAAATTTAGTGATGGAGAAACTAAATTAAAAAGTTCTTCCAGGCGCAGAAAGTCCAAAATTAAGGTGGGAGATCGAACCCACAATCTCGATGTATGGGTAAAACTTAGTCTGCTCTTTACCATTGGTAAAGAGTAGCACTGTAGTACCACTGGTTAGTACTGGTCTATGATCGCTTGTGCAGGAATTTTCGGAAAAGCTATGTACTTCGTCACCTGATTAACTCCCATTTTCGGCGAAGTCAATTGAGTCTGCGCTGCTTTATTCTCAACTGGAGATTTTGCTTTCTGAATTTTTTCAATAAATGCGACCACAGTTTCAAGTAGTTTCTGAATATTTTCATCTAGTACCCATGATATGGAATCATCAATAGTTTTTGGAAACTTTTCTTGGGGGAGTTAAAATAATTTTCTCCCCGAATAGAAAATATTTGAATATATAAAGTAATGGGGAAGACAAATCTTACCAAAATAAGAGAATCCCTTAATATTTTATTTTTAAAATTTACATTACTCGTGTCCCACAACACAACATTTTCTCTATAGAAATCTGTTAGTTGAGTTTCACTCCAACAAAATGCAGCCATGTTGATTATTCCAAATGAGGAGAAAAGCACATGATCACTCAATGTTATTGGCTAGAGACTCCGATTTTATCGTACGCTAGTGAGCAGTGAACACCAGTTCTGAAATTGTGGCAGAGAACATGACCGATTTTTGGTGCATGCGCAGATCCTTAAAATTGTTGCTCTACGAGAAAGGTCAGCCGAGAAAAATCGTTTCGCGTAGATGGGCCGTGAATCTATCTCCATACGTACTAACATATTAAATACAATATTTTAATCATCAATGCAAAATAATAATTGTAATGTACTAATACTAATAGCACATTTTATTGCATTATCAGTTAATTGCTTGAACAGTAGCCTGGAGACCATTAAGTTAGCAGCTGTGCTGCCATGAAGACTTTCAGCTTTATTGCTCATTCAGTGGGACCATGTTTATGTGAATTTTTATAATATTACAATAAAAAGTTGAGTTTGATATATGCAAAATTTTGACATATACTTTACATACATTGAGAGATTTGATGATACGTATATAGAATGCCACAGTTCATAAGTCTGTTAATGTTTATTTATCTGTATAAGTTAATAGTTAGTCTGAAATAAATTCTAATAAAGCTGTAATAAAGTTTATAGTTAGTCTGCAGTAAGTTTCATATTTGTAGATTGAAGTTATGCTGTCTTGAGATGATACTGATTATGTTGAAGTAATGCTGATGTGAAATTATGACACCTTAATTTATACTGCCTTTAGATTATCACAATTTTCTATGAGATATTCTATTAAATTTTGAAGTTTTTTGTGAAGAGGTTTACTTTTGAGTAGTTGTTGGGCATTCTTGTTTGTGAAACGACGAAAGTGGAGTTAGTATTATTATGCTGATATTCTCTTATGGCCAATAGTTCTGATTTAGTGATTGCATATTCAAGCAGGTAATGATCTATTGTTCCTGTTCATCCACATATGCAATTCTCTGTATCATACAAGCCGAAACGAAAAAGACATGAAATGAAGGGCCTGTTTGCTGTTAGAAGATATGTTATTTGTTGTAACTAAATATCTTTTTGGTTTTGGTAGGAACATAAAACTTCATCTGCCCATATTGTCTTGTGACCACATGAGTTTCCATTGAGTATTTAAATCTTGTCAAGTCTTGTATTTTAAAAGCTATATTGGATTTGCTAAATAGGTGATTGCTATTGTAGTA